GTTGTAAATGACAGATCCAAGGTATCCGGGAGTGTTTGGGAGAAGGTAGAGAAGATGAAGCAAACTTGCTATTGTCTGAAATATTTTTGAGTTTCTTCTTGTGTATTCACACTTTTCTATATTTGAAATAAAAGTGTTTTAAAACATTTAAATGCTTGATGCAAATTCTTTACAAAATGTTCCCCAATGATAAGTAACTGTATGCTACTTTATTTAAACAAGAAATCACTGAATTACTTTTCCACTGGGTGAATCCTTTTGTTTTATAGAGAAGGTTGCACCGTTTCACAGAGCCATATACTCATCTGGAATGTGTTGACACAATGTAGTTGGCAGTAATTGAGCAATGCTAACTGCTTGTTAATAGAGACCGTTAGCTGAAAATCTGCCCCAAAATTCAGTGACAGAAGTCGACTGTAGATAGACAAGTATGTGAGAATATTGAGCTGAACAGTCATCACAGAAGGTGAAGAATGTAACTGAGTGCTAATTCCTGAGTCTGTATGAATATCATGGTGGAAGTAAAGGGCTGGAGGGTTTTAAATATCTGTAGCAAATCCCATGTGCTTATAGCTCTCTTGTTAGTTCTGCTATCAGTCTTTTAGGTTAGCTGCTGCTGTAGAGAGCTATGCCATCATTTTTATCCTCATGTATCCCTTATACTTACACAGGATTTTCACTTTTGAGTGTCAGATTAGAGCTCATTCAGCTCTAATCAGTAGCCAGTTTTAGGACAGTCTTGTCTCTCAAGATTTCCAGGGCTATCAGTTGAGATTTATTTTAGTTTTCTAAAACTCTTTTAGTTTTTTCAAATTATATTATGTAGAGTATTTAAATGCACTATGATTGTACATTATTTAAGTGTTGCTTTGTCACATCTGGGGGAAGTATCCATCTTGCTCTTCATAATTGTCTGTCCTTGGTGTTCAAGTATGTTATCCCATGTTGTTTTTCTAATGTAGTTGTTCCTACTTTAAAAGCAAAACAAAACACAACTAGTATACAACGTGTGATTTTCTATAAGAAGTTACTCAAGCTTTGCATCTATTTTTGAGCTCCTTACTTTGAAATCTTGCAAGTGAAGCACAGAACAATAATACTTTGGGGCTGGGCACTGTATACATTCCTTCGTCTGTATAGGCCCTTTGCCAGCAGTTGTGGCTGGGCAGAATGTGAGGGGCAGAAGTTCTTGTCAGTAGCCAGTGCTGTCTTACCCTTGGTCACATAGCTCTGCAGCTGCAGTAGCCTGGCACTACTGCAGGTGCAGGAAACATTCACCACTGGAGGATATGGTTGTTTCCTAAAAAAGAAACTAGGATCATTGCTGTTAATGTTCCTTTACTGTGAAAGGACTGTGTAAGAGCACATTGGTGACAGCAGGCTCAGACTAAATGAAGTTTTAAGGAAATTTTAGGTTCTTTTGAAGTCCACAGAGAGTTGCTTTTATGGGTAGAATTAAGGTTGCTGTGGCTCCTTAATTATGCATGTCCCTAACATAGTTATTCACATTTCTCTTTCTATTTAGCAGTTTTACTGTGTTTGGGTGTTTATGATGTTTGTGGTTTTACGTTGGTTTATGAAACCATGTTCAGTGTGGATTTTGATTCAGTGTAGTTTTTACAGACAGGCAAGGCTTTTCATTACAGTGTTTAAATAGTTTTGTACTTTTAAATACTCAATCTTTGTATTAGGCTGAGGTTTTAAATTTACTATGTATTGAAAACAGGGCTACATTTTGCTGAAGAACAAGCTTTGGCAAGCTTAATTTAACACAGTGTATCTGTTAAAGCTTTCCACCCTTATAGAATCTTTTCTTAACTTCTTTTAGAGATGTGACACTGGGGGAGGAAAGAAATGTTAATTTTTGCAGAAGAAACAAAGAGCTGAAGTTGTAACAAGACTTGAATGCTGAGGTGCTTCCAAATTCCTACTTCAGGTGTTTCAGTTAGAAGCTGCATTCTTGAAAGCTCCTGCATAGTAGTTTCTTAAACTGTAAAGGTATTTAATTGTGCTGCTTAATGAGAATTTTCAGGTCCATAAAGATTTATTTTAAGGACATACATCCTGCGAGCTAGCAAGTTGGTAGGTGGATCATACTTAAACCTGTGAGCTCCGTGAAGAAGACATTGTGTTACTACTTGTTGATATATTTTATCGGGTAGATAGTCTGAGGCAAAAGATGCATTATAAATTATGCTCTACACAAAATGATAGATCAAGTAGAAATAGTTGTACCTGTAGCTAGTAATTCAGTCTTGGAATTAGAAACTTTGTGTGGTTTATGGTACCTGGATTTGTTTTCCTTATTTTGTATAAATCTGGCTGTCCTAAATACAATGCATGATTGTTCACAAACGAGTCTGCAGTTTAAAATATGTCTGATGGGAAGGCACATAAGCACTTGACCTGTGGCAGCATTTTGAGTGGAGGGATGGACTGCTGCTTAAAAATCCTCTGAAAAGAGTTTTCTTTTTAAGGACATAATTTCATTGAAAGATCTAGAACATGTCTGTCTAAGGGTGAAGACTCATCCTTTGGATAGACCAGAAAAGAGTGAATACCTCCTAAAGAGAAGTGTTTAACACTGATCTCCAAGTTTGCAGGGAAAAATCAAAGTGGTATTAAAATTAACTACATTTGCAGCATGTAATGGGGTTGAATTTGAATCTTTCTTTTAGTTTATAATGAGAATCAAGTCATTAACAGTAACAGAATGGCATGGAATTTATTATTTTGCCACCAACACAGGAAACAAGGGGCGAGTTAGCAAACCATCATCATGTTTAGCTAATTAAACTGGCCATCAGCTCTAGATCTTTGTAAAACAATAGAAAAACTGTAATCCCAGGCATTCCAACTAGTTGTTAGTAGTATGGCAAGCTGGTTAAAATAAGTGTATTTTTTTTTGTGCAAAGCAGAAAGCATATGGCTAGCTAATAGTACTGTGGGACAATGTGTCTTACATTAGTTACATAAAAAGTTTTAGTTAAATACATTCAAGTGGAATTAGAAACAGAGGAAATCTCTGCGTGTGCTGTAGCTGAATTATGTGCATGCAGTGAATTACGCACGTAATTAAAGTTGCTTGGTGCAATGAATAGCTTTAAAAGAGATACAAGGAAATTGCTTGGACTTAAATACTGTTAAGTATGTAATTGCAGAAAATGGTATAAATTTGTCTTGGTGTCTGTTGTTTCTATAATGTAAGTTATGTCTTGTGCTGTAACTGAATTTTGTTGCTCCAGGGCATTTTGGAAGTGAGACAACCCATCTTAATAGGCTTTTTTGGTAAACAGTTTTTAGAAGGAAAACATGAACAATGTCAGAAAGCTGAAACATATACCTCCTCTCACTTCTTCAGATTGCTGGGCATTTCAGTTGGGTTCTTCATTTTCTAGTTTAAGCTTGTCTAATTGGAACTCATTAAGATACGTTATGCCTCTTTCAGCTAGATGGAAATTTCTGTCATTGTTACAGTTCTCCATGGAGATGGGCACCCAGTGATACTGTTGAATACATCACAACTATGTAGTAGTAGCTCACCCTGATAGAAACCCAGTTTCTGGCTCAGTTCTCTGCACTTTGTGGGCATTCTGCACTTCCAAGAACTCATCATCTCCTGGTGTAAATTCTCACAGATTTTTTCCAATTAAATGAAGTTTACCTTGGACTGACTTCTGTGCAGCTTTTCATTAATTAATTGAACAGTGAAACAGAGTATGTTCACAGAGCTTGCAGATGATGCCAAGGTAGAAAAAGCTGCAGCTCTTGGTGGACAGTTTCATAATTTGAGCTGATCTCATTAAATTGCAGTACAGTCCCAAATTAGCTAACTGAAATTAGGAAGGAGAAATTAAGTGCTCAAATGCAGAATGGGAAAGAAATTATTAACAGTATTGCATAAAAAGGTTGTGTACAGTTGCTTAGAAATTCACTGTGAAACTTTGTTCTATGGATGAAAGAAAAAACCCGGGGATATAGATTCATCTTCCACTTTAATTGCAGCAAAGTGTGAACTGTCTGTCCGTTTGTTTCTGATTTGGAAAGAATGTGCTTACAGATTAAGTCATATCAGCGAGTTATGCAAAAGGGAATTTTTCATGGATCGTTTTTTCTCTCTGTTCTGTGACCTGTTTAACCCCATGATACTTTAACCAATATATTGAAGCAGCATGATATCTGATTGATTATTCATAATGAGAACAATTGTGAAAAAGTTGTTCTCCATATATCGGTGGATGATGAGACAAAAACCAAGCTGATTTTGCACAGATAATTTAAGCAAAGATTTTGAAGTGTGTGGATAATAAAACATACATGTGGATTACAGATTTTCTTAGGTAGAATCTCATGTTCTAAGAATTAGCATGACAACCCCGTCCTGTGTGTGGTTTAACACTTGGTCATTAACTTCTGGTCGCCAGTTTTGCACAGCAGTGTTCTACAGATGGGGTGGTGTTTGGATCAGAAAAGCAGTAGTAACCTCCATGTTATTTTGATTCTTACCCCCTCAACACATTCATTCGGGTGGTCCTCCTGCTGCAGGTGGTCTTCAGATTGATGAATCAAAGGTTAACTGTGCGTCTAAAAAGCCCAGAGCTCAATTTTAGAATACTCTATCAATTTCAGTGTGATGTTGGTCGGTATAATAGTTCTGCAGTCTTGTGGTATGGCCCATTCTTCATAGTCAGGTAAGGAGTAAGTATAATCCTGTTCTTCTAACCACTGAAGTCAGCAAGGCAGGGGAATCAAGTCTGCTTTTTGAAGATCCCAAATCTGTTTTGCACAAAATACATTGTCCCAAAACCTCCTTCAGTTGACGTGTCTACCTTTTTTCACATGTGCTCTTAAAATCTGGGGCCACGTGACTGTCAAACAGGTAGTCAGACTGCAGGTAGTGTTAGAGTGCTTAAGTGTCTGGTTTGCCTTTTCAGGTGAATTTGTAGCTATGTTTTGTAACTGGGATGTATTTATGACTAGAAAAATATTTTGTCATAGGTTTTGAAACTGCAAAGTCTCTCGCACTGCACGGGGCATATGTTATCCTGGCCTGCAGAAATATGTCAAGAGGCAATGATGCCGTACAACGTATTCTTCTGGAATGGGTAAGTGAATGTATATAGTGTCCAGCAGTAAGATGTGTTTTATAAGACATGATGTCTTTTGTGCAGTGAAAGAGATATTACATTGCCATTCAAGACTCTAAAGAAGAAGGCATTTTTCTTATTTTGTAGTAGCGTGTTCAGTCAGTGGTATATCAGTGATAAAGATTTTTCATTTTGTATGGCCATATTGGACTGTAAGGCTTGACATGTTGTTATTCATGCTACGTAGAGACGCTTTGTAAAGGTGGAAATGTTTGAAAGAACCACTGAGGCATGGTTCATAGTTCTTAGGGCAGGAATTTCGAGAACCAAATTGTGTAACTAACTGAAGGAGAATGCACACAGTCAGGTACCAAAGACTGCCACTATTTGCCCATAGTTATCATACTATGGCAGATTTCAGATCATTCTTAGAATTTTCAAAACCTAGGATGTTTACCTCCTTTCCTAGTCCATCAGGCCCAACAGCACTGCCATGCAGTCTGCCTCAACATTATTTTTCCCTTCCCACTTCTTATCTTTCATTATCCTTTCAATTTGTCATGCAAATACTAGCTCTTCAGTACTGTCTATTCCTTTGTTTCTTTGACTTTTAACTTCCCCTCCTTTTTTGAGAGGGGAGAATCTTCTAATGCCCTTATTAAAAATTATTCAGTGCTCTAAATTTATTCCTCCCACATTTAAGATTGCAGGCTACTTTTGTCTGAGCTTGCTATGACTGCTGACTTCCAGGACATGATCTTTTGACACAGTCCTCTACACTTTACTTGGATAAAAAACTGAAGGATCGGACTCTTGGAATTTTATTTCTTTCCTGCTAAAATTAGTGATGAGTATTTTAGCTTTATTTCCTAAGCTCTGAAAATACTTAAGCTGTTCTTGAATGATATGGGAGAGCACTCTGTAGTATTAGAATTTACACATAAGTAGTCTACAGATAATTATAATATTTACTAGTACAAAACAAACAGCACTTACTTACAAGTAACTATTGCCAAAGAAGTGATGCTTGTAATATTGATAATTTTTGTAACCACAAGTTTTTTCAAGAAAGTCTTTGGATTTAGGCCTCCTTCTGTTGCCTAGATGATATTAATGATTTACATTAAATAATTGAGAGGGAAAAATATCTTCCTTTCCCCTTCAATACTTCACATAAAAGCTTTAATTTTGTTTTTTCATTTCAATAGTGTGGGATTCCAAGAGCATTCCAACAGCGGCAAGCATACTGTGTGTTGCTTAAACATCATCTATCTGTGTGATATCTGGTGATATTCTGTCTTTTGAATTTAGTAGTCACAGTCCAGCTTAGTATGGCTGTAGAGAATGTTTTTAATGTAACTAAAATAAGGCTGGTACTGAGTACCTTTTGTTTGGAAAAAAAACAACCCATTACCTCCTGAACTCTAAGCATAGGAGCACTTAGAAGGCATAGGAATTCAGGAATACTTGTTTTAATGCCTATATTGTCTCACCAAAAGTTAATGAATTGTTAATTAAATGAAGATCACTGAAGGTCAAGTTACTTCAGAAACACTACATTTATTTACTAACAGTTTTCATACTCTAATTGTTCAGAAAAGAATTTCATCTGTAAAGTGGGTAGCTGGAAAACCTTCAATGCATCTTTGTAATGGCTTTGTTGTTGTTTATTGAGAGGGACTAATTAACTTTGATTATTGCACTAATATTATGGCACTTTGACAGTCCCTCAGATTTATGACTCTGGGAAAATAAACAAATGAAATGCAGGTGCTGGAGCAGAAAGAATAACTTATTACTGAACTTTAATTACTTGGAGTGTGTAACCAGGAGAGAATTAGTTGATGAATTACAAGATGCTTAAAATTTACATGAAATTGTAAGCAATCCGGAGGAAAACAAACACAAAAACCTGCCCCAAAGTCAGTTTCTGAAAACAAAGAGACAAAGATTAATTTGATTGATACTAATATTAAAATATTGATGTAGAATATGAATTTTTGGCTTATAGTTGTAACTACAAAGCAGGAAGTTGTTACTTGAAAATTCTTTCCTAAAATGAAAGAGTTTAAGGAAATTGTGAGCAGTCAGTCTCTGCATATGGTTCAGCTGAATTCATCTGTATCTGCAACTAGCCTGCTATAAAGAGCTTTAAGGCATCCACAGTATTTTGTCTCCTTTATTCCTAGGGAAAGCAAAATTATTGGAGGAAATGGGTTTACCTTTCAATTTGGAACTGGTTTTATTTTAAATTATAGCTGTTTAGGATGTAGTCTTAGCCTCATGTTTATGTTACTCAGGTAGGGTTTTTTTTTGGCAACAGTTGTTCTCCTGCTCCTACTTGCTTTATGTTTTCTTGTAAATTTTTGAGATTAGGTCTCTAAACTGGACTGTCAATACTGTCTTCCTCCAGGATTTTGAGGTAGAAATTCAGTAAATATGTTCCTACTCTTCAACTGAATGTCCAAACCCCGTTTCTTCTTCTTTGTGTGAACTGTACTTTTAGAACTAAAAAAAACTTTGCCATATAGTATCCTAGTGTATTTACATGTCATAAATGTACTGTGCTGTGAATAAAATTGGTAGTCCTATAATAATGTGAATATTACTAAAAGCAGTGTTTATCCTTTACTGTCTTTTCTGTGGGACAAAATACTCTGCCTTGAGTACTTAAACCTTAGTACTCAGGGTTTAAAAACCTTAGTAGTCAAGGTTGAAATGTTGGATAAAGAATATTTCCTCTTTCATTCTTTTTGTTGTCAGATGCAAAAGAGACTTCCACTTATTTTGCAAGAAGGCTAATAAAAATTGTATAAAGAAACCACTGTTACTAGTTCAAGTTTTGATACAATTATCTAATTGATGGTGTGTTTTAAGTAAAGGCTGAAATATATACAGAAAAAAAAATGTAAGTCTTAAACAAACCCCAACCACCACTGCCGAACCACAACAAAACAGAAAAGTCCCCCGGATTAATCCTACTGTAATGCAGCATTTAAGAGTACTTGGAAAAGCCATCCGGCTTGTTTCCTTAGTGAATCTATTTCATAGAATCATAGAATAGTTTGGGCTGGAAAGGACTCTAAGAACATCTAGTTCCAATGCTCCTGCCCAGGCAGGGACACCTTCCACTAGACCAGGTTGCTCCAAGCCCCATCCAATCTGGCCTTGAAGACTGCCAGGGGTGGGGCAGCCACAGCTTCTCTGGCCACCATGTGCCATCGGCTCAGCACCCTCATAGAGAAGAACTTCTTCCTTATATCCAACCTAAACTTCCCCTGTTTAAGTTTTAACCCGTTACCCCTTGTCCTGTCACTACAGTCCCTAATGAAGAGTCCCTCCACAGCATCCCTATAGGCCCCCTTCAGATACTGGAAGGCTGCTATGAGGGCTCCACGCAGCCTTCTCTTCTCCAGGATGAACAGCCCCAACTTCCTCAGCCTGTCTTCATACGGGAGGTGCTCCAGCCCCTGATTATCCTCGTGGCCCTCCTCTGGGGCCACCATTTTATAAGGACAAAATGGGACAGCTAAATGAAAAAACAGAAATGTTAAGGTCTAGAGAAAACAGGGGCGATAATGGGAGAAAATAAGGTAGGTGATGTTTTGTTTGGGTTTGTGGGTTTTGTTTTCTTTTTTTGTTTAGTTGTTTGCTTTTTTTTTCGGATTAGCTGCTGCTATGTTTAAAAACAAAATTCAAACTGATCTTGATTCGCTTTTGGAGACAAATCTGGAAAACTTTTTTTTTAAGCAGTTTTGTCTGAAGAGCTATTTTGTAGCGAGTTTGAGCCATTTGAGTAGGGATTGTCTGTACAAGCTTGCTAATTACTTTAGATAACTGACATTTGTTTGCAACCTGCAGTATTCCAATTACTTTCTTCCTAAACCACAGCAGAATTTTGCTAATATTGCAGATAAAGGGAAATTGCCTTATGTAAAGCATTGTGACAAATTTCAATGTGACTGGTTTAGCTAGTCTGTCAAATATAATTTTTATAGAGAGGTATAGTAAATTATATTGGTACAATCCAATGTTTTATATAGATACACAGAGAAAAAGGAAGAGCAGATAAAGTAGTGGATAAAAAGAGAGATCAGTATAGTTTTGCATTTGATATCTTGAAAATGACTGTTGTTCATGCACGATGACATTCAATATCAATTTAAAACTGTTTGATAATTTCTTGCTTGGAAAAGAGGAAATTAGAATTCTAGAGTTATTATTCATTTTAATCAGAAAGAAATTGTCAAAGATAAATCTCTCCTTGATTAGCGAAAAGGACTGAAAGCAGCCAAGAGAAAATGTCAATACTTTCCAAAGGAGGAATGATTGTTCCAAGTCGTAGCTTAATTGACTTTAAGGCTTAATGAAAACCACTACAGTGCTGTTTGTACACATAGTTGCTCTGACGAACACTGAAATCTATGCTCCAGGAAGAGAAGCTAGGTAATTTATTTTACATTATTATTGATATAATTTTCTAATTGAGTATGAGCAGAATGTGTGGATAAAACCGTGTAGCTGCAGATGTTAGCAGTATTCTCAAGAAAATACTTAAGAATATGAATGAATAAAATATTTCATAAATCACAGCTTCCCTTGCCAAGAAGATCTCATTTATTTATTCCTGTCAAATAGTCTTTGAAGTAGATATTAAAAGATAAATTGTAAGTTTAATATTTCATAAAAAGTATAATGTTTCTTTTGTAATTATTCCTCAGTGTTAAGCCTACAGCTACTTCAAAGATTAGATTAAACTGTAAAAAGAAAATTTGGGTTTGCTTTATATGTAGAAACTTACAAGGTAGAGATGTGACAAGAGAAGACAGAATAGCCATGAAGAAAACCAACAAAATAAACATGACGCCTTGCTGTATTCCTTTCCCCTAAAGTATTCCCCACCTAAGAAGTGATTTATATTCTTGCTGATTAGGTAACTGAATGAAATTAAAACTTGATAAGTGAGTCTTTGTATTCCAATTGTAATCTTGTGAAGCTCAGAAAGATGAGAAGCAAAC